GTTCTGCCATTTAGAAACAAAATGACATCAAATCATTTGCATATACTAAAATGAATGACATGATGTTGAATGACAAAAAATTCAGGTCTGATGACAATTGCTCTGAAAGTAGCTAGCACTGATATGATTGGCTGGCAATTTAAACTCTTGTTTCATTAAAACAATGTACAGTTTGCAAAATATTGTGCCATTAAACATATGGAAGAAATTTTAGTAGCAAGTAGATAATAAACATATCTGTGGCTGCATATTTCCTAATCATATCCGATTTCATTCCTCTAAACGTTCCACAAAATCAACAAACTGTGGTTGTCGGTTAAAAAGACTTGTCTTCCTGTCAGCGTGGGCCATTCTTGATTAGAAAAAACTGCAATGTGGACCAGACTTTATGTGAGACTAACATCCGCTGTTAGTTTAAGGCAGAGCCGTCAAGAGATGAAACATTAGCCTCATCCTATAGAGGAAACAGTATCCGCAAGCTGAATTAAAGGGTGTGAGCCGTGCTAACAGGAATAACTCGTCATCTCACTTAAACTGTAGATGAGACTCAGCGGGGTGCGATTATATGCGTGTGAAATACCATACATTTATTAATGTTGAACATGTCACTCCTGGAATCTAGAAAACTATAACAATGCAGGGTTCTCTCCGTCTTGCCTCCTGCCTCACACACACACACACACTAGCTGAACTGGTCCATTCACGCTTTCCTCTCGCACCTCTTTCCTTGAAACTCCCAAGACTTCACACTGGGTTTCTCCTCACACACGTTTGTCACTATCCCGCTTTTCACACTTACTGGAGTCCACCACACACTCCATTGAGACTTGACTCGAGAGCCGAACACAGACTGATACTACTTTCATCTTTATGATCGGCGCTCTGTTTGCATTCATATTAAAGTCAGTGAGAAACAAAGCTGCTTCCTGGTGTTGTAACATGTGCAATGGTTTGAGGCAAGACATTTATTCCCAACACAACCTCATGTAACTATTTTACATTTTGCCAATTGTATCCCATTCATATACGATCTTGCACTTATGAATCATGCACAATAAAATAAAATACAAAAATGAAACGGGATTCATTTTGATTCCATGTTGATTTTAAGGGCAGAGCTCTTGTAAACCTCAAATTTTGACCTGTAACCTCGTTTGTAAACCTCGTAATCTTTGCGTAATTCGCTACACTCTAAAAAATGCTGGGTTGTTTTAACCCAATTTTGGGTCAAATATGGACAAACCCGAAATGTTGGGTTAAAAATGTAATGTAAAAATTTAACCCAACGGCTGGGTTAGTCCATATTTGACCCAAAGTTGGGTTAAAACAACCCAGCATTTTTTAGAGTGTAGTTTTATGTGGTGGTCACGACAGATGAAGTAAATGGAGGGAAATGGTTTAAACCAAACTGTCATGATGAGGTCAGCCCAAATGGAGAGTTAGAATAAGTTATTTATATTAAACATTGTGAAGACAATGGAATAATATACACTAACGAATTGGAAAAGTATCACTCTAAGAAATGCTGGGTTGTTTCAACCCAAATTTGGGTCAAATATGGACAAACCCAAATGTTGGGTTAAAAATGTCATTTAAAATTTTAACCCAACTTCAACTTTTTAAATTTTTTTAATTACATTTTTAACCCAACATTTGGGTTTGTCCATATTTGACCCAAATTTGGGTTGAAACAACCCAGCATTTTTTAGAGTGTAAATATTATGATTTATTTTATACATATGAAGAGTTCAGATGCAAAAGCCTCTAAGTGCCATTTGAAATTTTCTTCTAGAATGATCATTTTTATCAAGCTTGTATATTTAAGTTCAGTAATTTCAGTTAAATTGCAATGAGGATTACCTATTAATTGTCATTTAAGTGAAATTACTGAACTTGAATATATAAGCTTGATAAAAATGATCATTTTAGAAGAAAATTTCAAATGGCATTTAGAGGCTTTTGCATCTGAACTCTTCATATATTTTGTAAGCATTGTGAAAGTATATGCATCTCTTATGATTGCATGTGTGTATCTGCGAACGGGTCTGGATTCATACTGGTTTTGACCCATATACTCATCAAAAGTATAAATTGTTTTTGAAGGCAGACACAAAACCTCAGACACACTGAGCTTTTTCCAATCGTGAGACACAATGACGCCGCTTAAAGAAGAACCACATTTAAATTAGATTCTGTTATTAAACATTGTAAGAACTTGTTTCATACAAACTTCTTCATTCTAGGGATATATGCTGGGTTGTTTTAACCCAATTTTGGGTAAAATATCGACAAACCCAGCCATTGGGTTACATTTTTAAATTACATTTTTAACCCAATGGCTGGGTTTGTCCATATTTTACCCAAAATTGGGTTAAAACAACCCAGCATCAGACCATACATCCAAACATGCACTCTTCATCAACCCAAATGCTGGCTTGTTTCAACCCAAATTTGGGTCAAATATGGACAAACTCAAATGTTGGGTTAAAAATGCAATTTAAAAAATGAAAGTAAAATTTGAGATGACATTTTTAACCCAACATTTGGTTTTGTCCATTTTTACCCAGATTTGGGTTCAAACAACCCAGCATTGTTTAGAGTGTGGTATTCAACCCTGTCACGCTCCAATAAAACAATTCCCTGCACAATCTTTTAAATGTACTGTAACGGGCATGTCTTGCATGTTCACATAAGAATTTCATTGCCTCAAAAGAAGAACCTCATAACTATTACATGAGATTTCTCACACTTGATATCGTCCTCATCAGCATTTAAAACTTGTCAAACATAAAATAAAACAAGTCCCGGCATGATTCTGCATCCTTTTCCAGAAGCTCTTCTCTCAACGGCCCTCACACTTTCTCTCTCCGAGCTTTCTTTATGCCCTTCCTGCAAAAGCTAATGATTTACAGCGTGAAGACAAGCGCTGGAATTAACATGACAAGAACCCGAGTCAATGTGCAATCCTTCAGCCAAATAACACGCCAATCCACATAGGTGTGATGAAGAGGGCTCCAGAGATACATTAGCATCGGAATAAAAAAAGGGGGGGGAAGCTCCCTATACATGGTTTCATCTTACTTTGGAAAGAAAAAAGGTTTATTTGAAGATGTTATGCTCTAAAGTCAGTGGTTGCTGTGCTTTGGGCTTTCAATAGAAGAGCTGATCTAAGTGCTGATAAGAGTTACAGGGTTTGGCATTAACTTTTTTGCTTTTTTGCTAGTTTTCCAAAGATACCTGCCACTCAGCATTTGCACTGGCCACAATTTCGACATGAATACCATGGGGAAAAACTGCCACATAGATATTTTTAATAGCAGGCATATTAGGCCGCTGTCACTTTAAGACCTCACGCACAGATCCATTATACTTTTACACATGCGTTGTCTTTCTCAACTGTTTGCGTTACCTATAAAAATTAACTGACTGTGTTTACGCGAATACTCGCCAAGACTGGCATTTTTACATGATTTTGTGTATTTGACTGTGTAAATGCAATAAGCAGAGAAAAATAACTAATTTAGAACTGAGAGGCGGCTTTATGTGCCGCACTTTGGGTGTTAGCACAAAATCTTCGGGAATGAGTAAAATGATGCGATACCAACAATATTCATCTGGAGCGAGTGAAACGAGTCAGTGAGGAGGCGGGTTTGTGTGTAACTCGCTGTCGGAGAGATGAGAGAGCGAGACTATTATTGGAAGAGTTTCAGATATTTCAGTATTGATATATTGAAAAATCCGTATGCACTTAGTTTATTTTTTCAGATGCCTTTTTAAAAGACTAAATCGAAAATTAATATAAAATTTAACCTGCTAGTTTCAAAGTGACTGCGTTACACGCCACTGTTTAAACACACCGCATTTGGTGGATTGGCGGGTGTTAATGTCAAGCCTATAGGCTACTTTACTAAAAGTTCAGTATAGTGTTTTCATGGTACACACTCTTAGAAGAAAAGGTTCTATCAGCGCTACTTATTTGGAACCCCTACAAGGTTCTAAACAGTTCTAAACCCTTTTTAAGGGTTCAATAATAAGAACCCTTCAGGGTTCTTTGTAACCAGGAAAAAGGTTCTATATGAAACCTTTTGGTTTCATTCATTATCATTTGTTTTGTCCTTTCCGGATTAAATATGTAATATTTTTGACAAAATTCAAGATATGGGGGTTAGAAAATGTATATATTTATATCATTTTATGTAGTTAATCTATATCACATGAAGAGTGCCATTTCAGTTTTTCTCCTCCAAAAATCAGCATGATTAAAATGTTTAATAAACAGTCAATAATTTAATTAAAACTAAATGTTGCAGAATAATGTAATTTATGAATGAATAACAGCCTATAAAGAACCTTTGTGCCAAAAGGGTTCTTTCTTGTCATTATAGAACCTTGTTTAGCATTAAAGATTCTTTGGAGTTGAGTAAAGAAACATGCTTCATAGAACCCCAATGAACCCTTTCTAAGACTATATACAGTATGCTATATACTCCAAAGATAGCTTGGGGCTTTTCGATTTTGTTTCCACTAATCATGAACCCAGATAATGATTTTTGTATTGATATATTCCATTCCATAACTTTTCCAGCTTTAGATAATGGACTTTTTTTTTATTTCCCTGATATTTAGCTATACCACGCAGGGGATGCTAAAATGGTCAACATGTCCAGCGGTAATTAATTAGATCAGTAAAGGTAGCAATCGATTTCAAAATTGAACTTTTTCTTAAAAACACTATTTATTTTGTCAAAAGAGAAAAGTCCATTTAAAGATTTGTCTAAACAGTTCGCTATTTTTCAGATCATAACTTCAAGAGGAAAAAAATTTGAAACATTACACAAGGACCCAACTAACTGACCAGAGAAGGCGGACAAAATATAATCTTCGTCCCAAATATGTTTTTGTTGACCGGCATGGTGAATTGTCCTATGGTGGAGGGGTGTTTGTGGAGGAGGTGCTTTGAGAGGAGGAGACTGTTCCTCCAGTCGCATTGACCACCTCACATCTGCTGCGAGCGGCTGAGACTGAACACCTCGTACCAACTTCTTGGATTTGCCGAGATTTTTTTTCTCTCATCTCGAACGCGCTCGCCGCGGGTTTCGCGATCATTCTGACGAACTACTCCGCGATTTTCATGCATTCGCTGTCGGATAAGCAGCACGATGTTCGCTCGTTGAGTTGACACATGACTGCATTCAACCATCGCTTTTATTTCACAGGGTTTTTATGTTTTAAAAGATTGGCTACAAAGGTCGTAGTGGATTGATTGTCGGAGATCAGAATTTGGTGGTTGGATGAGAACGTCGATGTGATTTAAACCCCAGACGAATACGAACATTTATTTCTCTCTGCTCGTGAACGAAGTGGCCTATCGGATTTGTTTTAATAGGTGGATTTAAAAAAAAATCCATCCCATTTCAGAGGGGAAAATTAGGACAAGTCGACCGACACCCCTCACAAAGGGGTTCCGCACAGCCGAGCGAACGGCATGTTGTGACTCCGTGTGTTTTTGACAAAACTGGCACATGTTTCGTGTAGATAAATAGGTCGTTTGGAAGATTTTGTGGTATTTGAAGACATGGACATTATTTTGCCATTCGATTAGCATATGAAGTTATAAGTGATTTTTAAACTCATTTTTTAACCTATCGCTTTAAATGTCGATCAGCTGAATTTTTATTTCTGTTACAAACTTCACTGAAACACTTTATTTCATTTTCTCCATATTTTAGTGTGAAGTTAAAAGTTTTTCCCCCTCTCGTGACTCGGTGGCTTTTCTCTGTACTGTGAAGAATCCCACCGTGCGATTGTTCATTCCTGATGGGTACAAGACCCAGCTGACGATTCTTGAACCTTCACACTGTTTGCCCATCTTTGTAAACATTTCCCAGTCAAACACTCGTGATTCCACGATGGAGCTCTTCTTCTCCAGGAATGTGTCCGTGCTCTGGATTATCCTGCTGGAGTTCCTGCTGAAATCAGTGGCGGAGGAAGGTAGGCTAACTCAATCATTTTATTAAACGCAACTACCTGTTGCCTCCTTAAATGAATTGTTGTATTTAAAAGTGTTATAACATTGGACGTTAACAATGAATATAGCCCTGCAATTCACTGCATTGTTTTGTCTGGCCATCTCTGGTAGCACACAGCCTATCAAATGTCTAAAATGTGCGTATTTTTTTTTTAGAGTGATTTGCACATCTGCAATACGTCTATATGTTTCCTGTCAGATGTTATACAGACACTTGGAAGATGTTTATTATTTAAAATGTGTAAACTGCTTTTTAAAAGATGTTTATCAGATGTTAACATATTTTCCAGATGAAGCGCTCATTAAAAGACATCTAGGAGATGTATGTGTGCTATGGGATTTACCTGATTGTTTTCGACGGCTAGTTTGCAGTGCTCTGGGTTATGTAAAGGCCTACTGAATTACTAGGCTACACATGGGCTGCATGGTTCATTACTTTATTAGGAAAGTTGGAAAGATTGAGGTGTTATGGAACGTACGTTCGTTGTGGTTGGCGTGTTTGTTTAGTTTTATTGATGCAAGGAACAATTGAATGGGTTTGTTATTGTTTTATTTCTCCTTATTAATCCGTTTTTATACAAAAGGACTCCTCCAAAAAGGGGTTGGTTTGGGGTGTCACTTGAAAAGTATAATTATCTCCTAGAAAGAGCGAACAGCCTATAAAGTAGAAGTGCGCTTATAATGGTCGCTACACCCCTGCATTCACATCTTCCCGTTTAAAGTGCTCTTTAATAATCAATATAATTACCATGCTCCTGTAATCACTATGCACTTAATAACATTGATTTCATTCTTAAGCCATTTCTTTGTCTTCTTCTGTCCTTTGAAAATTGCCATTGGGTGGATCAAACAGGAGGCACAATAAGTGCAGCTCAAGTAACACGCAAATGTTAAATTACAAAGAGCTTGGCGATATATGGACGTCTTGGGTCGATAGAAATTTGAGTCCTGTTATTGTCAGGGGACATTCCATCCAGTAACCTCAATAAGTAGTCATTCTGATCAATAGAATGATGAATGGTTGTTCATTCAGCCTGCAATGGAAAAAAAAGACAAAGAAAGTTGGGTTTGAAGAGATGTGGTAAAGGTGACTGCACGCATACCTGTTTGAAGTCTATCAGTTTGCGATATGGCGGATGGACGATTCGGATTAGTTCCGCATTACATGGCGCTGTGCACACAGCTGCTCCCCGCTTGCCGAAATCAATTAACCGGCCTGTGTGACAGACACGCACAGGTGATGCTACTCCAACAGTAACGCTGTCTAATTATTGAGTTATTGACGCATTTTTGTCGCGGTAATTAGCCGATGAGTGTCAGAAGCTTGCGCATTCAAGTGAGCAACGGCTTCAATCCGGAACGGAGATCTCTGTATGCTATTTAATGTACACGAAGCAGTATAAATCTAGGCTAGCTATATTTCCTAGTAGGGCCTAACAAAGAGAACTTTTCCCGTTCCGTTTTGTGTCGTAGCGCCTGCGTCAGGCCTTTTTCGCGGTAAAACGAAACATTTGTTTTGGTGTCTCTAACGTTACTTAGAATTGTGTGACAGTAAAAGAAGGTTGTTTCCACCACATAATAATGCAATTTAAAATATAATTGCGACTTTTTAATCTCACTAATCTTACTTTTTATCTCACAAATGCGAGTTTATAGAGTGCCGAAGTTACGACGTCTCTCTGTTGGCCAAGAAGTGAGTTAGCATTTAGCACTAACTTACTGGTTCCTTCGCTCTAAAGTCTATGGGATTTTTGAATGGATTTTTGCTGAATCGCCTGAAATAAGGTCTGTGGTGAACAAAGCCTCTACATATTTTCACGTTTCGATCTTTGACACACAGTAAGCTGCTTATGTTTTTTTTTTAACTTTATTGTGTCTGCTTGTGTTTTTTAAAAACTTTATATAGGCTTCAAAATGTACTATATATTTTGGATTAACTTGTAAAGATTATCTTGATAGACAAAATGTGTAAGGGCCACAACTCTTTGTTAAACACAGATCATATTTTGCAATTTTTCCAAAAGTCTATGGGGAAATTGCAAAGCTTTTCGATCGAGGGAACCCATGCGCCACTAGCTTCCGAGTTGTCCTACAAAGTGACGTCATCACTTCGGGACTCTATATCATTCAATTCTGAGAAAAAGAGTCAAAAATGATGAATTTTTATATTCAGTGGCAGGAAAAAGATTCCATTGGAAACAGTTGGCATCCAAGGAAAAACTTGTTGTCCGTTACCTTTAAAAAGCAACTCTAATTTAACCTCTTTACTTGCTTTATTGGTGATGATTAGTTCACACATTGAGCTTCTCTCGAAATTTCTCTTTTACTGTTGTGTTTTTTTGTTGTTGCAAACTGTTCTTGGAAAATGATGAAAAAGAGTTAAAAAAAAACTTCTTAAAAGTAGTTTGAAGACGAGCATTTTTAAAGCAGCTTATGTTGTGACCGTTTGTAAGCCCTATCTGTGATTTGATTAGTGTTCTGTTTATGTCATAAAGAAAACTGAATTGTTCTTTCTTTTTAATGTCATATTATTCTCATTTGGCGAGTCAGTTTCAATTTGGCCCTGGTTTCACACCAGAATTTTGCTCAAACGAATGTCCAACTGTACTCAATAATTGGCTGAGGTTGGGGAGGGGTTGCTTTGGCAGTTGTAAAGACTAATATGGTGAAGTCAGTAACAGAAGCAGCAGGGGGGAGATTGGATTTGATTCTGTAGTAACTCAAACCCCTGCGTGAGATTAAACTAATGCCAGATCTGTGAGGATCACTGCACTGATCTCTAATTCCCTTTGTGAGGAAATATCAGCTAAAAAGAGAGAGAGAGGTAACAATGGCTTTCATGTGAGGTCAGAGCTCAGGAACTCTTCTGTCTTCCGTCTTCTGTTACCCTGGAGCAAAAAAGAGCTTATACATTTCACCTTCTGTCACTTATTCACATATCTCTCACTGTCTCACTCATCTCATCTGTGTGTGTCTCCCTCTGTTATACGGACATGTATTCAGTCTCATGCATTTGCTATGTTTGGAATGGAAGACTGTACATTGTATACCGTGTCTACAGTGTCTAAACTTCATGTGAAGCGGTATACAATGAACTTCTCATGTACACTCTTATCACATGGCCACACTACAAGCAACAGTTGATTTCCTTTTTTAATCCAATTTTGGCAGTCCAATCACGTGATTTAGGCCCCACCCACACTACTGCGTTTTCGTTTTCGAATTAAAACGAATACGATCTCCGTCCACACTGAAATGACTGAAAACGCGGATCATGTTATCAGGCCAATTCTAAGGGGAAAAAAAACCCTAACTTTTTCCCCCCTCAGAATAATTTAAATCTCACAATTCTATATCATGCATTTCTGACTTTATAACACGCAATTGCAACTTTTTATCACGCAATTCTGACTTTATATCTCGTAATTCTGACTTTATAACACCCAATTGCAACTTTTTATCATGCAATTCTGACTTTATATTTCGTAATTCTGACTTTATATCTCGTAATTCTGACTTTATAACACGCAATTGTGACTTTATCACGCAATTCTGACTTTATATCTCGCAATTCTGAATTTATATCTCGCATTTCTGACTTTATTTCTCAGAATTGCGAGATATAAATTGTAAACTGTAAAAATAAAATGTAAACTGTGAGATATTGTGAGATAAAAAGTCTCAATTACCTTTTATATTTTTCATTCTGTGGCAGAAACAAGCTTCCATAGGGAGGTACAAACATAGCAAAAGGTCTCCATTTTTAAACGAAAACGCAGTAGTGTGGACGGGGTCGAAGCTTCAGTTTTACAAGTAGAAGGTCAACTATGTATTAAATGCATACAAGAAACTTAATATACTGCCGTAATAGTAAGAACAGTTGTCATGTGCCCTTCTCAACATGCATGTTAAAGGGATAGTGAAATGAAAATGTTGTCGTCATTCACTTGCTCTCAAGTTGGTCCAACCCTGCATTTCTTTCTTCTGTTGAAGACAAAAGAAGATATTTTGGAGAACATTGACTTTGAGACAAATCTTCTTTTGTGTTCAACAGAAGAAAGAAACTCATACAGGTTTGGAACAAGTAACGATGACAGGATTTTCATTTCTGGGTGAACTGTCCCTTTAAGCGATTGACTGAGATGCGCATGAAACTCACCGTTAAAACACATTTTAGAAAGAAGATTTTTCAAAGTAGCCTAGTAAATAAACCAAGATTATTGGAGTGCGTTTTATATATTTCCTAATTTAGAATTCCATGCGTTACTGTCTGTTTCTTTGTGATTGATTATCTATGAAATTTATCAGCAATTTCTGAGTTAAAATTGTTTCCTCACCAATTTAATTAAGTGTAGTGATGCAAAAAAAAAAAAAATGTATTCTCTTCTTTTTGGCCATGGTGAAGTTTCCTCTACTCGTCTCCCGCTGCAGAAATGCACATCCCTCCCCAGAAATCCTATTAAATGGAACTGATTTTTATAAGACAGGGATTTGCATTTAAAGCAGCGCTCTCCCCTCTCTCTCTCTCTCTCTCTCTTTGGTTGTTAATCCTGTGATTAGCCGCTTGAAGATTTAAACTGCAGCTCTGCGTCTCATCTCTAATCATCAATCCTGCACCTTTACTCTCTACAGAGTTTCAACAGTATGTTTGTCTCAAACCCAGAGAGATTCCTGTTTGTGTGTTTGTGTGTGTGTGTGTGTGTGTGTGCATGGCGGATCTCATTTGGAAGGAATCCTTTTTCAACTTTTTCAAATGTGTGTTTTTGTGTTTGAGTGTGTGGTTGGCATTGCCGCGCTTGCTGATCCAAACACTGTGCAGATTGATAGGATGATAACAGAGCTCAAGCAGCTCTTGTTGGGATTGGACTCTCTCTCTCTTTCATGTCTCTTCAGCCAGTGCATCAGTGTCAATACCGCCCTGATGGATGAGGGGCTGACAGCATAAGAGTCTCTCTTTTTATCC